CTGAGATATTTGCAACTGTATGTTTATGACACTGACCACGAGAATGAGAATCGAATGTCTGAAAATGAAGAATTGCACTTGGATTTGCTTGACAAGATAAAGAATATTTTAAATACTCATAATCCATTTGTACACACGTTCCGCCAATTGGCTCAGCGTCTAGACATACATGAATGCAGACTTCAAATCAAAGAACAACCACGTAATAGGCCCCAATACAACCTTCCTACTACTCCTGAAGTTGCTGCAGTTTTAGTAGGTGGCGAAGAAGTTGGAAATTTAAAACCAAGAGATATCATTGTCCAATCAACCAGTGGTCACCTCCTAAATATTTCTGATATTGTCGGATACTATGATCCATTACAGTATCCTCTGTTGTTACCCTACGGTTCATATGGATGGGATGTAAATACCAGAAGTAATGATGGCAGAAAAGTAACATGTTGTGATTTCTATTCTTATATGCTACAGGTAACAACGTATACATAATATTAAAAATTTACTTCGTCGAAGTTATTCAATCTATAATTATTTCGTATAAAATCTTTACTTTTAATTATTTATAAGTATTGAAATACTATCAATTCAGATTCGCCCTGGTGATCAATCTCTTTTTCTTCGAGGAGGTCGTCTCTTACAGCAGTATGTTGTAGATAATTACGTGAAGATTGAGTCCAACAAATTAAGATGGATACGTACTCATCAGAATCACATTCGAGCAGATTTTTATCAAGGTCTTCTAGATGCAATACATGCTGGTGAAAATTATGGAGGTACAAATTGTCACGTACGATATTACAATTACATGTACGCATGTTTGTTTATATTCATACATACAATTTCTTTTTTCCTTTTGTGAAATATTTGTTTAGGTAATGTTGGTCGTAGAACAATATTGCCATCGTCATTTGTTGGTAGCCCACGAGACATGTATCGGTGATATCAAGATGCAATGGCTCTGGTCCAAAAGTATGGAAAACCTGATCTTTTCCTTACGATGACCTGCAATCCAGATTGGCCTGAAATTAAAGCTGAGTTGCTACCTGGACAGTCACCACATGATCGTCCTGATTTGCTAACAAGAATATTTCATTCAAAATTTGATGAGATGAAGACCGACATTCTTACAAAACATGTACTCGGGAAGGTTCTGGCATATGCATATGTTATTGAGTACCAGAAAAGAGGCTTACCACATGCCCACATGGTCATTATTTTGGATGAAAATGATAAGTTACGCACTCCTAACGATTATGATAACATTGTCAGAGCTGAAATTCCAGACAAGAGATTAGAGCCTAGATTATACAGTGCAGTTCTGAAACACATGATACATGGCCCATGTGGAATGTACAATGAACGGTCCCCGTGTATGACAAATGGTCGATGCAAAAGACGTTTCCCAAAGCCATTTTGTTCAATTACTACACTTGGAAACGATTCATATCCTATTTATCGAAGAAGAGAAGGGGAGTCAGTTCCTGTAGAGAGTAATCCAAGCGTCTTGGTGGATAATAGTTGGGTCATTCCATACAACCCATGGTTGCTCTTGAAATATGATTGTCATATCAATCTTGAAATTTGCAGTAGTGTTACAAGCGTGAAGTATTTATACAAATATGTTTATAAAGGGCCTGACCGTGTTGCACTAGAGGTTCGTCAAGGTCCTAATTATAACGAAGTACAACAGTTCATAGATGGAAGATGGGTTTGTGCTCCAGAAGCATTGTGGAAAATATTCAAATTCTCAATGACCAAAATGACTCCTAGCGTAGAACGCCTCCAAATACACTTACCAAATAAGCAGCAAGTGAGGTTTTATACGTTCCAAGACATCACAAATGTTTTAGGCGATGAGTATTATTCCAGAACAATGCTTACCCAATTCTTTCAATTAAATGTTGATGATGAAACTGGAAATCGATACTTATATCGAGAGATACCACAACACTATAGATGGTGTAATAGCGCAAAGATTTGGCAGTTAAGATTGAACCATCAAAGAGTAATTGGTAGAATTTACACAGTTTCGCCATCAGAAGGGGAGAGATTTTACTTGAGAATTTTACTCAATCATATTCGAGGACCAAAATCATTCGATCATTTGTTAATGGTTAATGGAATTGCGTACCCAACTTTTAAACAAGCAGCTAAACATCATGGTTTGTTAGAGCATGATGATAGCATACGACAATGTTTGTTAGAAGCTGCAACCATGCACATGCCATCGGCTTTAAGGAGATTGTTCGTTACAATTTTGGTTTACTGTGTGCCAACAGGGGTGCGAAGTTTGTGGGATGAAATTTATCCTTACTTGATTGAAGATTACATATCTTCAAACAGTATGAATAATATGTATATCCTTAACAAAACCCTGCAAGATATAAACTGTCTCCTACTACAGCATAATAAGAACATATCAGAATACGATTTGCCTGAGATGACAATGAATTTGGGTGATAATTCAACAGTTCCAAAGGTCATACAAGATGAGTTTTCCATTGTAACTCCTCAAGAAGACTTAAATTCTATTGCCACATTAAATAGTGATCAACACTTAGCATTCAATTCAATCATGGAGGCTGTGGAATGCAATACTGGCGCAATCTTCTTTGTGGATGGCCCAGGTGGAACTGGAAAGACATATTTATATCGTGCACTATTGGCCTCAGTGAGAAGTCAAGGGAGAATTGCCATTGCAACAGCAACTTCTGGAATTGCAGCTACACTTTTACCTGGTGGAAGGACAGCCCATTCAAGATTCAAGATCCCCTTAAATCCAGAGGCTTCGTCTGTTCCATTACTAAACAATCAGATTTGGCAGAACTGATTAGACGTGCAACAGTCATCATTTGGGATGAAGCTACAATGACAAATCGTTATGCTTTTGAAGCCTTGAATCAAACACTCATAGACATCACTGGTGTTGATTATCCATTTGGTGGCAAAATTATGGTGTTTGGTGGTGATTTTCAACAAGTACTTCCAGTTGTTCCTAAAGGTACAAAAGCGGAAACTATTGCTGCATCGATAGTCAAATCACCTCTTTGGAGTCACATTCAAATACTTCGTTTAAAGCAAAACATGTGCTATATAAATGACCAACAGTTTGGTGAATTTCTTTTATCTGTTGGAAATGGTGTACAACCTACCATTATAGATGAAATGATCAAAGTACCAACATCGATGGCAATACCATGGAATGGCGAAGAATCAATAGTTCAACTATTAGAAGAAATTTATCCTGATATCATAAACCATTCTTTTGACGCCGAGTATATGGTTAGTAGGGGCATAATAACTCCTCGCAATGAAGATGTCGACAAGCTCAATGAGAAAATCATTCAGAGATTTCCAGGAGAATCAAGAGTGTACCACTCATTTGATAAAGTTGAAAATGATACCCAAAATTTGTATCAACAAGAGTTTTTAAATTCCATTTCACCAGGAGGAATGCCCCCACATGCATTGCATTTGAAAGTTGGAGCCCCAATTATGCTTTTGAGGAATCTTGACCCTTCTTCTGGTTTGTGCAATGGCACAAGGCTACTGTGTCGAGCTTTGAACGATAATTTCATAGATTCAAAGATTTTAACAAGACATTTCAAAGGCATGAGAGTTTTCCTACATCGCATTCCATTAAAGGCTCCGGAAAACTTAAAACTTCCATTTGAAATGACTCGCACACAATTTCCAGTTCGCCTTAGTTTTGCTTTGACGATAAATAAATCACAAGGTCAAACAATTCCACATGTGGGAATTTACCTTCCGGATCATGTATTTAGTCATGGGCAACTATATGTTGCTTTATCTCTCTCGAGGGGTGTCAGATCAAACAACGAAAGTCTTGGTTAAAAAGGGTTCAATTAATAATGAAGAAGGAGTGTATACCCGCAATGTAGTGTACAAAGACGTTTTGTTACCAAATTATTGATACATGAGGTATGTACTAAATATGTTCTTATTCAGCTTATATTATGTCATTTCTTAAAATCTACAATTAATATACTTATAATATATCTTCATATAATTATTGATTGTAGGAATACTTGAAAAAATAAAGCTACTTCAGCTTTGGGAGAATTACCAAGAGGAAGCAAATATGGTTGCAGATAAGAAAGTTAAAAATCAGGTATTGGCTTCACTTATGTTCAAAAAATAATGTTTGTAAAATTTTTGCTATTTAATTTGACAATATTCGCATATATTTTGAGTTTGACTATACCTTTTAAATTAATGTAGGTCAAACAGTTCTCCATATACAGTTTTGGATGGAAGGTCTCTATTAAAGTTGATAAAAAACAATTGGGAAAATTAATTGTGCGAGAGCTTTTGAGGAAATGACAACATCGGTATGAAATGTGTTTGTGGTATTTTATATGAATAATTTCAATATATTACATTTGCTAATAGTTATTGTAATCTTTTTATAGAAATCCTATCATATCTGGTAGAGCAAGTATATGCAGCAAAGACAATATGGACATATATGTGGTAAAAGATCAAGTCTTATGAATTTTACTACTACACTCCATATATTCATATTTGTGAATTTACAAATTAATTTTAGATTTTATAAATTTGTCAAACAATCAACTTACATGACTGTGAGATATTTTTCCTCAGTTTTACAGGCAACGAATGATACAAAAATTGAAAGCTTACAAATACATGTGCAACATTGTTACAAGGTAATCTATTTATAGGTTTGTATGTATAACTAAAGTTACGTACTTCATTTTCGGTCAATTCCATCTTATTTTTTGTAGTTTAATGTTGTCATAGATCTATGGCAAAAATTGCATCAAAACAATTTGAAGAGATCATTGAACGTGACATTTGATATGAACGATGTCAATCTATGTCGATATGTAAGTTTTAATCAACTCATATACGTTTACAAAAAATTAATGCAATAATTACCTTTTGTGTCTTTATACATAATAAGCCAATTATAAAACCAAACTTATGTATAATTATGCCTCAGAATGTGAAATATAATTTTAATCAATGTATACTATTAGCAATCTTATGATAAATATATCTTATATATATATATAAATATATATTTTGCAGGATCTCCGGTCTCATGTTATCAAATTTAGATTTTATATGAATTTTTATTGTACAATTTTTTTAGTTAAGATTAGTAAATATTTCAATTTTCAAAACACGTGTACATATTGTAATGTGCATATGTTTTATTTATCAAATACGTTAATATCAAATGTTACATTGTACATAATTATATGCTTGTAGTTCAAACCTCATGCTAACTTTGAGTTTTGAGGTCCATTCCATGCATATACTGAGGTGTGTTTCATGTTTTGGGCCCATTATACATCAATATTTCAGAGCTTATTTGAATGTCATATTGCCATGCTTTTGTACTCTTTAAATGTGTTCGAGAGTCGGCTTGTATGTCTCATTTACGACCGTTGAATGAGCTCCTTTCTTGCATTTCGAACTCATCAATTTTAGGGCCTATTTCCCAACTGTTTCAGCTCTATCCCTAGGGTCTGTTTGGGGTTGGTTTTGCCAATTGGTGCATTGCTTTGGGTACCTCTAGTGTAACAACACTTCACTAGTTTCGGTACCCGGGCCATCTAGCATGCATGGGTGACATATTTGCATGTATCTCAGTTGTCCTCATTTACATCAATGGCCACTGATTTTGAAGTGTGGGCTGAGATTCCACGTCATATTGGTTTAAGTCACCTTGCATTGGTGTATGCCGTTTGGTTCATGTTGTTGCATGTTTGACCATCGCATGTGTATGCTTTGATTAATGCCCCTTGTGTATGTCCATCTTCGTGTGTCATTGCGTATGCTAGGTTGTTAAGTCCGCATTGTGTATGCCATATAGTTTATAGCATTGTGTATGCTAGTAAGCATGTTTGCATCTTCATCCTTCATGTTTGCAATGGTAGGTCGCACTTGCATTAGGATTGCATGGCTAGTTGCATTTGTGCATGTCATGCTATTGCAATTGTGTTTGGAGTAGGAGTTTAGTCCAAACACGGAACAACGAGGGACATTTTCATCTCCAAGCGATGAAATGTACCTTGATGCCCTAGGTCGTCGACAATTCTTGATTACGCCCATGATAGAATTGTTGGCTTCAATGTGTTCTGACTTCGCATTTCATTTGCCATTGAGTTGTGAATTCGACTCCTCGGCCCATACATGCATTGAATGCATGATTGGTGGCACGAGGAATCGAGGTCTCACTCCTTTTGAAGCTTGTGCAGACAGGGAGAGTGGTTTTGACACACAATATGTTGAAAATACCATGCTTTTCTCTCCCTCTTGCCTTTGGTTTTGGCTGAAAAACCAGATCCAGAGGCAGAACAAGTGGTACGGCCCACCCGGTTTTCCTAGCAGATCGACCACTTTTTTTGGTTTCCAACCATAAGGTGGTCCGACAGGTCGCCTCCCAAGCCAATATCTGGTCGGCTGCAGCCTCCCAAGGGTGGAGTTTCAGCCCTTGGAGGCCTTGTGCAAATTTCTCTAAAATTCAAGTTGCAACAAAGGCGGATTGAGGCAATGGCGATGGAATTTCCCCGAAAGAGGCGACTCGAGCATGCATGATCCATCGTCCAACCGCAAAACAGAGTCGAGGCAGTGCATATCATGTAAGTTTACATGCTTACTTCGCTGTTTGTTAATTAGTTAATTTTGTGTAATAATTAGCTGTGGTTGTTATTTATGGTCGGACTATATTATTTTATTCGGCATCCCTCGAGGGGGGGCCAATGTTGTAATAAGTGTGCGTGGTGTGTGATTATGTCTTCCAACCCCACTCTTTCTCGCTTTTTATTTTTATCAGCTTATGATTGTTAAGATTAGGGCATGTTTCAATTAGCATACTTATGCTCGCAATGTTTGCATCATTCATCTGTCTTGCATGCACCGGGCCTCGGCGCATCATACTAACTGCATTGTATTTCAATTCCAAGTTTGAACTACGTGTTAGCTGTAGCATCTCATATGCCATTCTTAAGGAATAGCCGAGCCTAGTGTAGTTTGCAATTTTGCATGTGTTGCATAGCCATTTTAAAACATGAACTAGGATCATGGCATTGATTACTAATAGTTTCTTGTTTTGACTCGGAGTAATCCAGTAAGTGTTTATTGCTTTAGCATCCTTGCATGAGTGTGAGTGTTGCCAATGATAGCATCTTACCAATGAGCTAACTGCTTATGTGATATAACTGCTGAATGCTGTGGGTGAAGGTTGTGATTATTTGAATTGCAACAAGTCATTGAATGCGAGTTTTAAGCCCACTTGAAGTGGCGATCATCTTTTTTCCTAGGCCCACACGAAGGTGGCAAAATCCACATTTTAAGCCTACTTGCGAGTAGCAAATCCCATTTCAAAAAACAAACATGAGATGTTTGTTCCAATCGGCGATCCAGTCTATTACTTGTATGCTGTGCGCATCACGTAGTAAATCTAGACTAAATAACAGGAATAAGAGCAATAATGTTTTCAAAACATCGATATCATGTTTAAGTAGAGGCCGTCTTTGATCAGCGAGCAGGGGTGCTCACGAGTGACCTCCCCAATCCGTAGCCG